CGAGCGCAAGAAGGCCATATACAAAGAAATAGAATAAATAAAATTAAAAAAAAACAATAAAAAGAAAAAAAACAAAAAATAAAATAACACAAAACACAAAACAAACAAACACTCGAAGTAGCGTCAGCTGCCAGCAAGCCAGAAGTGCTTCTGCTGCTGCAGCTGCTGCTGCAGCTGCTGCTGCAGTTGCTGCTGCTGCTGCTGCTGCAGTTGCATCGAGAGGCTGCTGCTTCTGTCTCTTCTTTTGCTGCAGTAGAACGGTTGTTTTGTTGTTTTTATATTAAATATATTTATTTTATTTGTCTTTAATTATATTTAATTTAGTTTTATTTTATTTGTAAATAAATAAACACAAATAAAGAAAATACAAATAAACTAATCGTTATTATATTTATTTTTATTGTATTATAGGACGTATCTTTATAAAAAAACCAAAATAAAAATATAAATAAATAAATACAAATTAAATAGAGTAAATAGAAATAAAATAAATAAATACAAATAAAATAAATATAAAAATTAATTTAATTATCTTCACAATCATAACCACAAACAAAAACGAAAAAAAACGCAGCGGCCAGGCCCTGCAACAGCAGCAGCAGCAGCAGCAGCAACAGCAGCAGCAGCAGCAGCAGCAGCAGCAGCAGCAGCAGGAGTTGTTAGAATGAACGAGAGGGCCCATAGAAGCCGTTGGGTATTCCTTTTTCTTTTTTTTGTTTTATTTTATATTTTTTTATGAGCGGAGAAACAGAAGGCTTAAAGGGGCTGATAACCTGAAAAAACAAAAATAAATAAAAAAACAAAAAAACAAAAAAAAATAAATAAAAAACAACAAAAGTAAATAGAAACAAACGTATATTATGCATGCAAGGAGAGAGGATATGCATGCATAAGACAAGCATAAGCAAAGAAGAAATATAAATAATATAAATAAACAGAAAAAGAAACAGAAACAGAAAAAAAGGAAAGAAGGAGAGGAGGAAGAAGCAGGAGAAGGAGGATAAGAAACAGAAATAAAAAGAAAAAAAGAAAAAGAAAAAAAAGAAAAAGAAAAAAAGAAAAAGAAAAAAAAAAGAAAAAGAAATAGAAAAAGGAAAAGAAAAAAGAGAAACAGAAGATGTAAAAGAAGAATAAAATGAAGAAAAAACAGAATAAAAAGAGAAAAAAAGAAAAAAAAAGAAAAAAAAAAAAACAGAAAAATTGTTGCTGCTTACAGTGACTGTCTCTTCTTCTGGGGGCTCTTCTGTCTCAGCTGCTGCTGCTGCTTCTGCTGCTGTTGCTGCTGCTGCTGCTGTTGCTGCTGCTGCTGCTGCTGCTGCTGTTGCTGCTGGCGGTGAAGTGCGCTGAAGAGCAGACAAGTCTATCGGGCCTAAACAAAAAAAAAATAAATAAATGAATAAATAAACAAATAAATAAATAAATAAATAAATAAATAAATAAAAAAATACGCAAGATAAATTAAATAGAAGAAAATAAAAAAAATAAATAAATACAACAAATAAAATAAATGAATAAATAAACAAATAAATAATCAACGAGGCACAAGAAATATAAAATAGACAACTCGAGCTGAAAAAGGAGAAATAAAAAAAGAAGAGAAAGAAAAAGAGAAGAAAAATAAAAAATAAAAATAAAAAAGAAAGAAAGAAAGAAAATAAAAAAGAAAGAAGACAAGAAAAAGAAAAAAAAAGAAAATAGAAAAGAAAGAAGGAGAAAAGAAAAAAGAAAAGGACGGAATGAATGACAAAAAAAAATAAAATAAAATAAAATAAAAAAACAAAACAAAATACAACAAATAGAAACAAAAACACAAACATAAAATAAAACAAAACAAAACAGAGAAAAAACAAAACAGAGAAAAAACAAAAAAAAACAAAAACGCAGACAAAAAAAAACAAAAAGCAAAACTAGGGAAAAGAAAACAAAACGAAGACAAACAAAACAAAACAAAACAAAATAAAAAGCAAAACAAAAACAAAAAAAAACAAAAAAAAAACAAAAAAATAAATAAACAACCAACCCCACCGTTAGAAGGAAACTGCGCGAAATGTGAAAACGAAGAAGAAGAAAAAGAAGAAGAAGGAGAAGAAGAAGAAGAAGAAGAAGAAAGAGAAGAAAGAGAAGAAGAAGAAAAAGGAGAAGAAGAAAGAGAAGAAGAAGAAAGAGAAGAAAAAGAAGGAGAAAGAGAAGAAGAAGGAGAAGAGAGAGAAGAATAAAAAGAAGGAGAAAAGGGAGAAGAAGAAGAAGAAGAAGAAGGAGAAGAAAGAGAAGAAGAGTGACAAGGTAGGGGCCCAGCAGAACGTGTAGGAAGAGGAGGAGGCAAATGAGCTCCTAGATTAGAAACACGAGAAAGAAGAAGTTTATTTATTTT